TTTGTTTCTTATGATCACTTCACTACCTTCCCCATTTGTTGCCAAAAACTTTCTTCACCAATTGTCAAAGGATAAAAGGTAAATTCACATCAAATTCTGACACACCAAAGCAACCATAGTTAAAGGAACATGAAAACTATCAAATTAAGTGGCGCTCATTGTCAAATTACATTACTTACCGTGCCGTGTGGAATTGGAAACACATGTTTGAACTCTATTTTTTGGATTTTAATCAATAAGGTTATCATTAAAGCATAAACAATTATTTTTATTAAAATTTTTTCAAAGCGATTTGATTTTATATTTGATTTGAATAATTTAATTTGAATTAATTTATTTGATTTAGGCAATTGAATTGATTCGTTCGAGTTTATATTGGATTAATTATTTTTGGAATCATTTCATATGAAAAAATTCATACTAATTTAAAGTCCAAATCTTAAAATCTAATTGGATTCAATTTTTGGTCAAAATTCAATTACTTAACTTGAAGGTCCAATAGAAGTTCAAATTAATTTTTCGAGCTCAAATTTTTTGAATTTTGCCTAGATATTAAAAAATTAAAGAAATTTTTTTTTTCACAAAATAATTAAATAAATAATAATTTCTTTTATCATTGTTTAGGTTTGCTTTTTGCCTATTTAATAACTTGTTACATGTATTAGCATTATAAATTACCATTTGTATGTCATCTTAAATTATATTCATGTATTTTTATTTAGTATTTACACTTTTTAAAATGTCTTTCCAAAAGATTAATAAAAATATAATTGTTAAAAAAATTATGAAAATCGAGCTTACTTTGAAAATCCACTTAGATTTTAAAGATGATTAAGTAAGTTTGGGTTATCAATAACATTTATTCTTCTCATAAAAAAAAAAAACCTTGAAACCCTAAAACCCTAAAATCTTGAAATCCTAAAACCTTATAACCTTGAAACCCTAAACTTCAAAACCCTAAAACTAAACCCTAAACCCTAAAAACCCACAAAAACCCTAAATTTTACCAAAACCCTAAATCCAACTCGTAAATTCAAATTATCACCAAAAAAATCATTCAAACCATAAAAACCTTGACCTAAACCCATATGCAAAGCCATACCAAAATTTGAAAGATTTATATGAAAATCTCATATGAAGTAATTTGTTTCTGAATGCTGCCTAAAATATAGGATATTTAAAAAATTTTATTTTATTAACTTTTTTGTACAATTCCTTAACTCGAAATAATAATAAGTTTAAATAAAAGAATAAAAATAAAAAAATAGGATCCTAAATAAAATAATCGCACATAAACTTTACTTAAAGGTTAAAGAGTCCGAATGATCTTATTATATTTAAGGATCCGATTTCAAATTTGTATCTCATCATCATGCTTAGTATCCATTAACATATATACATCTATTTATTATTATTTGCACTCATTTTACATGTTTATACCTTTTAATTATTATTTGCTAGGTAATTATAGTATAATTGGCTTATTTAAAATATAAAAATTTTAAAATAAAATAAAAATAAAATTTTGAGGTAAATAATTTTTAGTACTTTCTCTAGATGTTGGAGAATCACCCATAATTCTCATCTACAAAAAATGTTATTTTTGTTTTTAAGAAATGTTGCGGTAAATCTTAATAAAAAATAGTTATCTTTAAATTTTATCTAGATGTTATCGAATTTTAAAGTAATTTTTTAACTTAAAGATTTTTATAATATTCTTCAATAAAAATTTAATAAAATTGTTCTTATTAGAAAAAAAGTGACACCACTGTCGCTCCAAAAGGAATGAATTTGCATGCCTTAATGATTTTGACTATGTTTCCTTTCACATGTTTTACTCATTGTATTGTTTTTTTTTAATTACTTTATTACATCAAATCTCAAACTTGTTTATGAGTTTTGATTAATTAATGGTACATGTTTGTCTTTAGAATTATTTATAAATCAAGTCGGGTCAAATAAGTTTATTGACATTTGAAATTTTTTGTTAAAATCCAATTTTATTGGATCCAAATAAACTCAAACACTATTTTTTAAGAATATTATAAATATATTTTAAATTATAATTAAAAAATATTTTTATTAATTAAATATTATCTTAAATTGAATTTAAATTTAAATAATTTTATTCAAAGCTTAACTCAAATTAAATTAAGTTTATGAGTACCGTGACTTGTGCACGAATCTATTTGTATTCAAGAAATATCTACATCAATCAATGTGCAAAAAATAAAAGCTTAAATGGATAGATAATTTAACTTAAGTGAATGTCTAAACATAGTGTATGTTAAACTAAAGATTTAGTCTAAATAATTCATTTAATAAATTTAAAATTTTAATTCAAACTCTAATAAAAAAGATAATGTATGTTAATATTTGAATATTTAATTCATCGATAAATACAAATGCTTAATTAAAAAGTTGAATTTGAAATTTCTCTTCTAAAAAAAAAAAGTAGAATGTGGTAATTGTCAAAATTTTGTAAAAAATAGCACATGCAAAATATGTAAATCATGCAACAATTAACAAAATTTTAAAAGTTGTGGACCTTTTGTTTTTTATGATCAATTCATTACCTCCACTTTTTGTTGCCTAAAACTTTCTTTACCAATTTTCAAAGGATAAAAAGTAAAATCAAATAAAATTCTACCCACCAAAGCAACCATAGTTAGAGGGAAATGAAAACTATCAAATTCAACAGCGCTAATTGTGAAAATGTATTAATTACACATGTCGAACTATTTTTTTTGGATTTTAATCAACATGATTATCATTCAAGCAGATACACCTAATTTTTTTCAAGTTTATTTTAGTCGGTTTGCTTTTATATTTGATTTGAATAATTTGATTTAGGTAAATTTAGGCATTTTAATTGTATTAACTCATTTGGATTTATATTGAATTAATTATTTTTGGAATCATTTTATATGGATTAAAATCCATTCCAATTTAAAGCTCAAATCTTAAAGTCCAATTTGATTCAATTTTATGTCAAAATTCAATCACTTGGCTTATAGGCTCAATAGAAATTTAAATCAATATTTCAAGTCCAAATTTCAATTTTAGGCCTAAATTTAGTTTTAAAGCTTAATTTTATTTTATTTATTATTTTTTAGAATTAATTAAATTAATTAAAAATTAAAAAATACAAAAAAATAAATAAATAAGGAAGAGGACAAATGGGAGCGGCCTATAGCCATTGTATGAAGAGTTATTCCACTATCTTGCAATCAGTTTGGCAGGAATCACAAACAGCCACAATAGTTTTGAATTTTATCAAAACAATACAAAAGCATAAAAAAGGCAATTCATGTAAAAAAAAAAAAGATCACTTGGTGTCATAACGTCTAGATTTGGAGATCTATCGCTAGATATTGACTTAAAGAGTCGTCATCAATCTTTTATTTTATCTAGGTGCGATTGACCACTTAAGAAATCTATTCTTTCAGAGAATGCCTAAGTTTAAAGGTCCCTAAAAAAATAGGTTCGGGTCTACTAACCAAAACAGAGTTCGAAAGTTTAGTTACGTGTAAGGAAAGTTATAGCACCCTCACAACGCCTATCAAAACATGGTACCAGCTTAATTTTGTGTTATACAATAAGCCTTAAAAATTTATCAAGTAATTAATTATTAAAAATTATTCTCAATTGACTCTAATACTTTTAGCAAAAAATTGAAAAAATTTCCTCACCTTAAGAGTATGCAAGAAAACTATTGTTTCACTTGCAGATGCTCCATCGTCGGATTATTTAACATTAAAGAAAATTTAAGAAAACAAAAAGGAAAAGAAATAAAACGAAAAAAAAGAAAAAAAATTGATTCAGCTTTAGGTATAAATCTTTTTCTCTTAAAAAAAAAACTCATTGTTTTCATATAAGAAAAATTAATACTTTCAACTTTTCCTCAAAAATATTTTTTAGAATTTGGAATTTTATTTAAAGAAAATAAATAAATAAATAAAAATAAAAATAAAAATAAAATAAAATAAGAAATAGTAAATAATTCTAATCTAATAAATAAATAAATAAATAAATAAATAATAATAAATAAATGAAAAAAAAACCTTGGAATGGCTCGGCTCGGCTTCGAAAGCGGCTCGCACTGGAGTCACACGAGGGTCAAACGCGGGTTGACGCTCAGGTCGGGTCACTTGATTTCAAAACGTGTAGATCATCTGGGAATAATATTCTATGCACTTCATATTTATGCAAAAATATAATTATAATAATAATAATAATAATAATAATAATAATAATAATAATAAATTTTATGAATTCCTTATAATGAGATCCTAAAGAAATTTAAGTAGTGATTTTTTATAAATCTCTAAGTGAAAAGATTTTTCTAAAATGCTACCAAAGTATTAGAGCATTTAAAATCATTTTCAATAAAAATTCTCATTTTTTTATTTAATAAAAAAATACAAAATTAATTTTTATAACAAGAAATTATTACCTGGGTTAAATTATAATTATTATTTTATTATATGCATTATAAAATTTAATTTTAAAGATAAATATGAACTGTCAAGAATGAGACTCTTGAAAAATTCGTGTAATAATTTTTAAGAAATTACTAAGTAAAAATATTTCTCTTAATATTACCAAAGTATTTGAGTATATTTTAAAAATTTGTAATATACAATATTTTTATTTATTTTTCAAGCGAAAGATTAAAAAATAAAAAATATTTTTTGTAATAAAAAAATTAAGACGATCAATGTTTAAATATCAAAAGTAAGATCATTTTCATAAATATTAAAGGATAACATGTGATTAATAGATATTATTTTTAAAACAAGCATTATGAGAATGTTAATCTTTCTTATTTATAATCATATTTTTGAACTCAAATTATTTTTATAACTTTTAATAAATTATAATTAAATTTAAAATTTTATTAAAAATATAAATTTTAATAAATAATAAATCACATATAACTAAAAATATTAATAGCGACTTTTGTGTTTTTAATTTTTATCTACGAGTCTGGAAAAGCGGTACAACAAATGTGAACATGCATTTTTTAACTTGTGCTACAGTACCGCATAATTACTACAGTACCACGGCCTTTACACTGCTGCTACAATACCACCGCCGCCGCTATAGTACTGCTATAGTGAAACACGAAAATTTTGCCTATAAATAGGCTTAAGTTGAAAGGTGAATGCAAGCCAAAAATTCAAGAATTTTAGTGATTTTGTGAGATAAAAAGGAGAGTTTTGTAAGGTGCTTTCTTCTTGTCTTTGAGAGAGTATAATTTTTTTCTCTTTAAAGTAGAGAGGTTGTATTCCCTTTTTATTTCTCATAATGAAATTCTTTTTATACCTGCTTATGGACGTAGCCAAATAGGTGAACTACGCAAATTTTCGTGTGCCTCGTTTTCACTATTATTTACTCCTAGTTTAACCGCATGTTGTCGCTTTCGCAAAGAAGCTCAAATCCCAACACTATCAAGTTTATGATACACAAATAAAGCTTGAAACCAGCTTCTTTTCTTCTTCATTTTCTCTTTCATTTCTTCTCAGATCGATGGAGTTCGGAAGTGTCACTAAATATCTTCAAGACAAGACCATATTGGTCATTGGTGCAACTGGCTTTCTAGCAAAAAGTATATATATTTATACATATTCATCTCTCTTTATTTATTTATTTATTTATTTATATATATGTGTGTGATCTTTATATGTTTTTAACAATTTTGTTCTTTGGGTCTAGTTTTCATTGAGAAGATATTGAGAACTCAGCCAAACGTGAAGAAGCTTTATCTACTTTTAAGAGCTGGAGACACTAAATCTGCAACTCAAAGATTGCATAATGAGGTAATTATATATATAGTTTATTAAGTTTTAATATTTTTTTTTTTACAAAAGAGACGGTAACTTAGAATAAAAAAAATTATGTGTTGAGATTTGAATTCTAAATTTATTGAACATCTCTTTTAATTAATTTATATAGTTATCTTTCAAAGTTGAAATTCAATAAATTGATTTAAAATTCAAATTTAACACATACAATTTTTTTTTCTATTGTCAAATTGCAGTCTTCTTTGTAAAAGGAAAAGTTGTCTATAATTAACATAATATTTGTAATGTTTGTTAACAGATCATAAGGACAGAATTGTTTAGTATTCTTCGAGAAAGATACAATTCGAATTTTGATGATTTTATATCGGCTAAGGTGACAATGGTACCTGGTGATACCTCTTCCCTGGATTTGGGAGTGAAAGATTTCAACTTAAGAAAAGAAATGTGGAGAGAAATTGATATTGTAGTAAATCTTGCTGCCGTGACTATCTTTGATGAAAGGTAATCAATCAAGAATTTTGTTTTCCATAACATCAATTATATGTATATGAGAGGATGCAATTGAAAAAACCATAAAATTAAGAGCTCAATGTTGCTTGAATTTTAAGGTATGATGTTGCTTTGAGCACCAATACTCTTGGAGCTTTAAATGCTATGAACTTTGCAAAGAAATGTGATAGAATAGAGATGTTCCTCCATACCTCAACCGGTAAGTACGTATCCAATTTAATTATTCGTCAACACATTTAGTTCTTTTTTAAAAATGTTTTTATTTAAAATTGACATAATTTGAATCTTAAACACTGAAATTAAGAGTTAATACTTTATCAACGAATCATACAGTTGTTGATATTAATATTATAAATATTCATAAAATTAATTTAAATTTGTTCTTTTTTATATTCTTTTGTTCTTTTTTCAGCTTATGTGTGCGGTGAAAAGGAAGGAATTATAGTAGAGAAATCATATCATATGGGTGAACCTCCCAACGGAATGTATGAGTTAAATATTGATAAGGAGATGAAAATTGTGAAGGAAAAATTAAACCAACTTCGATTGCAAAATGCCACAGAAGAAGCAATTACATTAGCAATGAAGAATTTTGGCATCAAAAGGTTAATTTCAATGCTAGATTTACATATGATCGTATTGATGTAATGAACAATGTATACAAACTATTTGAGACATATAACCTACTATAGGGGTGCTTATAGTTTTTTTTTTTTTCTCTGCTCTTCTCAAATACCTATATATATAATCTCTCAATTGTATAGGGCAAGATTGTATGGATGGCCAAACACTTACGTATTTACAAAGGCAATGGGAGAGATGCTTTTAAGACACTTCAAAGCAGATCTGCCCCTTGTCCTTATAAGGCCGACCATGGTGACCAGTACTTACAAAGAGCCATTCCCTGGTTGGATTGAAGGCTTGAGGTAACCAAGCAACGTCTATAGCTGAAAATTTTCATGTTTCCGTATAATAAATTTTGTTTTTCCTCTTCCAAATTATCATAAGAAAAATTGTGGCTACAGAAATGTGAATCCTATCATTCTAGCTCAAGGCAAGGGAAAAATGTCATATTTTCTTGGCAATCCTAACACTGTACTTGATTTGGTGAGTTAGCATGCTTTTTGTTTTTCCTTCCAACTTGTCCCATAAACCTACCCATTTCTGCTTCAATCTCATTTTTTCGTATGATTTTTTTATTGCAATAAAAAACATCAAAAGATGACGGGAATTCAAACTTTAGACTTTGATCCTCCACTAAACTATTATGCAGATACCAGCAGACATGGTTATTAATGCAATGATTGTGGCGATGATGGCTCACACAAATCAGTCTTGCGAGATCGTTTACCACATTGGCTCCTCGCTTAGAAACCCTCTGAAATTCTTGAATGTTAACGATTATTCCTTTCGTTATTTCGTGAAAAATCCTTTGATCGATATGAAGGGAAACCTAATAGAAGTTGGAGAAACAACATTGTTGAGCAGCATGAATGAGTTCCTCCTACATATGGCCTTTCACTATGTGCTATCTCAAAAGGTTTGTCATAAATTAAATTATATTATTTTATCATTTTGAAGATCTTTCCAACTTTCATTTCTAAATTCCCTATTGTTTTTAATTTGAAGGGACGATATTTGAATTATGGAGAAGCTTTTACAGATTTTGCTCATAAAACGAACTCATTGATAAGAATGGCAGAACTTTATGAACATTTTGCGTTCTTTAGTGGCATGTAAGTATTTGGATGCTTGCATGTGGCGATTTATCATCACGGTTTTGTTTCCTTTGTCACTAAATATAAACTTATTTTCCGAAACAGATTCGATGATAGAAATGCAGAAAACTTGCAGATTGCCGCAAGAGAGTGCGTTGTTGATGTGAATGCATTTAACTTTGATCCCAAGTGCATTGATTGGGAAGATTACGTTATGAACATCATCATTCCCGGCCTCCTAAGGCACGTCGTAAAACGTAGCAATACCTATGTTTCTATGCTTTGATCCAAAGCAAATTTGAGTTTGTTCCTTATATACCATGTATATTAGCTATAACATACATAATATGTTCTGTTAATCTAATTCCAACGTTTTTTATAATAATAAAAAAGTATATTTCTATACATGATCAGTAAACTATATGATAGTGATAAAGTTTAGTCATAAAATGTGGCAATTATATGGTCAAATTGGCTCATCGAAATCGATCTTAGCTTATAAAGATGTCAGCATCTGCATCTCATCACATCCTACGTACGTAACGTAACAATATGTTCTTTATAACACTTCATGTGAGAATGCAAAATTGATCTTATTGATTCTTTAATGCTTTCTTCCTTGAAAGAAATGATAGAAATATAATATGATTAATGAGTAAAACAATATTGGAGTTACAAGGGATGGAGTTACTCCATATGGAAAATTGGAGGAAAATATGGAAGATTATTTCGATTGGCTGAAAAAAATACAAGTGCAAAAAACTCTGGGCCTGAAACAGGCAGCTTCAGCTTGCCACTTATAAATAGCTGCAGCTGTGTGAATTATGGGGATCTCTCTTTCCTTTTACCCGTCATGGATGTTGTTTTATCGTCAGACTTTTGAAAGGAATCCTGACTAGCATGATTTTTACCGCCAGTTGAGAGAATCTCAGAACCGCCTGTGTTCAACATGGCTAACTTGCAGCGGGGACCATTACAATTTTCACAAGTTTCCATGTTGGCTGCAGTTTTACCGAGATCTTCACAAGCACCTGGCCTGGTAATGCAGAGCCAAGTTCTAGAAGACTCCTCATCGTCGTCACATACAATAGGCACGTGCCATGATCCTTTTTCTGATTCCTGAAATAGAGATTCATATCTTTACATACGAATGGAACATAGAAGAGTTTATACACAAGCTTTCACACAATGGCTAAATCATAGCAGTCAAGTAGAACATGTCACCAAATGAAACTACAACAGCAAAAAACAGATGATACCTGAATGACAACAGAATATGAGGGTGGCATCTGAAGTTTCAGGGTTCCTTTCAGAAAAGTATATCGCACCTGCAAGTGTAACAGAAGCCAATTTATAAAATGCGATGCCATTTAACACTAATCACAAATGAATAGGAGCCATCCTTTGGAATTTAAATAGAAGTCCAAACAGAAAATCATGCATTAAATCCCATGTTCAAAGACAGAATTGGGCCATTTCTCAGCTTAGCAGAACACAGGTGAAATGATAGTTAATAAGAAGAGTATGTTTGATACAGTGTCATAGAGTGGCTCAACCTACTACAAAGTTGCAAGTTTCAGTGTGTTACAAATGATACAATCATGTGATAGAAATAGCATTTAGATGCAAAACTTGATGTAGAAAAATAAAATAATAATGTAAATGGTAAGTTGTAAAATACTGCCAAATGCACTTTTTACCACATCAGAAACAAGGTTAACAGAAATTAATATGAAAGCACAATTAAGAAAGGAACAATGTTGTTATACATCAATTAGGTATTCAGACAGAACAAACCTGGTGCCTTTCTTTCCACTTGAGAAAGAAGTTGCTACCTAGGAGTTCAAAAATGTGATCCCGCATTTCATCATTTGTCACAAGCAGACATCGAAGTTTTACAGCAGCATAAAGCCAATACCTGTATATAGCAGAAATTTTTTATCATGCTCAAATTAATATCAATTACCAATTAAAAACAGAAGAATCCATCATGAATTTAGTGCCACCAATATTGCACGGTAACTCCTGATGAAGCTAATATATTCCCTTAAATACTAACTTTTCTGGTGCAAGAGTATGAAAATTGTCAAGTTAAAAAAAAAAAAAAAATGAGCTGAACGAAGCAAAACCACCATATTGAATCAGATTTTAACATTAGGAACAAATTAAATCAAAGTAAAAAAGTATCAAAGTTGAGTTTTTTTCAACATTCCCACCAGTCATCATTGGAACCAGGAGGTGTTGTATAAAGAACACCATTATTTGTCCACTCTTCAACCAGCTTTCTGTAGGAAGGATTTTCCAGGAGGGTTCGCACACGTTTATTATGCAGGATAATGAGTGGCCATTTATTCCCACTTCTAGCATACATTTCTTTTATGACAGCATCAAGCTGCTCTATCGCAATTTTTACAAAAAATGAACAACAATTAGTAATACAAATTGGGAGACAGAAGAAACAGAGCAATACAAAAGCAAAGGAAACACGCCAACTGTTGGATGTACAACCTGAAGAAGACTGAATCCACCCTCTGCAAAATTTTGTTGGTAAAGTGCAATATTTGCTCCATCCACTATGGCTTCATAATCAGCTTTTTCTTCCAACCAGTCCTTCACAAATGATAAAAATGAATTAAGAGAAAAAAAAAACAGTAAGAATTAAGTGAAATGGCATAATGTAATATCAAGATATCATATTTACCATGTCAATATTATGCCTTGTTCATGTTTTGACATTTTATGATTCTTTAAGCAGTGCATAAATTATAGGTTCACATCTGTTATGATAGACTGATTACAAAATTTTTCTATTTATCTCTACATTAAATAATAAGGAAAGATACCTATCAGACAATGGATAAAGATTACCACTGCAAGAAAATTCTAGCAAATTATGAAAAACTAGGGAAAACATCAGTTCCTGCAAGGTTTTCCTAGAGGTGATGCTCAAACCAGAAAACATCAAGAATGCTCCACAAATCAAAACATAATCTATAGAAATTTGCATAGTCCAAAGAAATTTTAGTCATTGCACATTATATTGTCCCAACTCATCGACAAGACTAAAACGCTAAATCACCATAAGGGTTTGTATATGTAGTTTTCTATCTTTCTTTCTATTCCAGCAGCCTGGGAATAAAAAGGTGGCTACATATTGATTGTATGAAGGAGTAAGCAAGACTCATGTGGACATTCTTAAATCCAAATCCGTATCCAAATATAAAAGCAACAGATAAATCATAATAAGTTCAAATACCAAACCTTCATAAACTATAACAATATACTACATAATGAAATTGTAACAAGCAAATTAATTAAAATATCAAGCCTTCTGCAATAGGAATAACAAAATTCCAAGAGTGTCAACCAACACTAAAGGTCTACACGTAGTTACCTACAACCCTGTTTTCGTGGTTTCTTTCATTCAGTATATACAATCAACCACATCAAACATAATAAAAATAAAAAGTAACAGAACATTGCATAATGTAATCAACTCATTATTAACTCGATGAAGCCAATCCAAGCCACGTAAAGAAATTTGCAAATATCTCCCTCACCTGAAACTCCTTAAAGTTAGCCTTAACCTCCCTCTCCATAGCCAACCCTGCAACTGACTGCGCAAACTTCTCAGTCTCGACATCACCAATATCTACACAACCCAACTGCTCTCCACAGCAACAACACCGCCCATTCAGCTCGACATTCCCTTTCCTCACCACCCACTTCCCTTCCCCAATCCACCCCAACCCATGCCAACCCCCACCATTCCTCAAAACCGCCTCTTCCACGAAACCCACCTCATATTTCGCTCCCTCAAAACAAACCTCACTTCCCTTACTACAAAAACAATCCTCCAAAACCTTCCCTGTCTCCTCACTAACCCACCTCACACTCCTCCTCAACTTCTGGAAATACTCATAAACTCTCCCCCCTCTCCCCGTCTCCGCACTTAATTTCAATAAAGCAGCAATCTGAGATTCCTCCAAGCTCAACCCCATCTTATTTATATCCTCCTCAACTTCATAAGCCTTCTCAGCTTCCAACTTCTGGCAAAAACAAAACAATGCAGGCTCATAAGTACGAAGCCGTGGCAAAACACGATAATCATCCAACTTTTTAACCATTTCAAAAGCGTAATCCCCATCACCTTTCGCCGCCGCTAAACGGGCAATAGCAGTAATGGAAGCTTCATTGGGATGGAGATTTAAGGCCATCATATGGTCAAAAACTCGAAACCCATGTGCTAAAGCGAGATTTCTTAACTCCGGATCGGCGGAAAAAGTGGAACAAAGGTAAAGGAGGGTGTTGAAATGGTGTTGATTGAGGCGAGTTTGGTTTGAAATAGCTGACTCGTAAAGTGAAATTGCCGCTTTGAGGTCTTTGGATTTGGAGCAAGAATTGAGTTCATATAGGAAATTGGCTTCTGGGTTTTTCTGGGTTTTCTTTCTTTTGGTTGAATTTGTGGGGTTTTGGTGATGGCTAGGGGTAGCCATGGATACAGGTTTTCCTAAGATCAATCCTAAAGATTTCCCAATCGGAAACGAAAAACCCTACCTTTTTGCTTTGATGGCTTTGCTGGGGTTTTGGGAAGTTGCTGTTATACAATAATAGGTTTGAACTGGACTTCAGGTAATGCTAAGATAACTTATATTGGGCTTTAAGCTCCACATTATTTTGTATATTAATCTCTTTTTTGCCCAAAATTTCGCTTCTTAATCTTTAATCTACGTGAATTTTTATTTTATTATTAAAATAACAAACCACAATGCCAATAATCTTTTGATAGAATGATTAAAAGAAAGTTGTAGTGTCAAAAGTCACATAAATTATCAATAGAATACCAAATTTTTAATTTTAATAATCAAAATTTTAGTTTCTATAATTTCAAATATATATTTATATATATAAAAAAGTTGTGGCATGTTCAAAGGCTAGGATTTGAGTTCACATAATCCTAATGACACACATTAGGTGGATATTTGAAACAAATATCAGCATTATTCTCAAATAATTAATAGTATACTAATTTTTTTTTAATTATAGTAACCTCAATTCTTTTTTAATATTATAAGCGTTTCATGTGCGATGCCAAATGATCGAAAGATCATTGATTTAATTTTAGTAATTAAAATTTAAATCTTGACAGATTCAAATATATAAGAATAAAAAAGATGTTTAATGTTTGAAATGAATAAATTTTGCTACTAATATTTTTGTTAATATGTTTATATTTGCTTACGAGCTAGAAATTAAGAAAAGAAAGCTTGGCAATATACTTATTCAGATTTAGGGTTCTAGATTCCGAAAAAGCCCAATTAGGATTATTGCTTGGGTTGGCTGACCATGATGAGGTCAGTTGAGCCTGGACCATAGGGTTACGAAAAATAAGAAGGCTCATATGAAGGTTTGCTAATGGGCCTTGATCAGCATTTTCAATATATAATATATTTAAATAAATAAATAAATAATTTATTATAATTAAATAGGCGAATGAAAATCGTATTGAATCTTTTGTAATTTTAAAATTTAAATTTTATTAACAATGTATAAAATAATAATTTCCTTTTTAAATACACCTATACAAACAAGGAAAATACTAAAATGCTTATTCAAAAACTGAGCTCTTCGATTTCTATTACTTTCATTTTACTTCGAATTGTAATCAAAATATCAATTTTCTTCTTCTATTTATTTTCCGAATGATACTTAGCAGTTTGCGAAATTTCTTTGACAACATAAAAAAATAAATAAGTTGTTGTTTGTTGAGAGAGAGAAACATTATATAATTCCAAGGGGAATGAATTTGCATGCCTTGATGATTCTGACTTTTTTTCCCCTTCACATGTTTTCGATTTTCTTAATTATATTGTTATTTTTTTATTATTTTATTACATCGAATCTCAAATTTGTTTTTGAGTTTTGACTAGTCAATGATACACGTTTGTGTTTAGAATTATTTATAAAACAAGTCGGGTCAAATAAATTGATTGATGTTAGAAAATTTTTGTCGAGGATTCGATTGAATTCAAATAAATTTAACATTATTTTTTAATAGTATTATAAATATATTTTTTATTAATATTTTAAAATATATTTTAAAATTAAAATTAAAAAATATTTTTATTAATTAAGTATTATTTTAAACTGAACTCAAAATTTTAAAAACTAAATTCTCTTTCTAAATAAATAAAGGTAATATGCGGTAATTATCAAAATTTTATAAAGAATAAATAGCATGTGCAAACTATGTAAATCGTACAACAATTAACAAAATTTCTAAAGTTGTGGACCTCGTTGTTTCTTTGATCACTTCATTGCCTCCACCTCCCAAAATTTTCTTTCCCAATTGTCAAAGGGCAAAAAGTAAATTGACATCAAAATTTACCCCACCAAAGCAACCATAGTTCAAGGAACTAGAAATACTATCAAATCAAGCGGCGCTAATTGTCAAAATTCATTAATTCTTTTGCCGCTTGGAATTGGGAACACATGTTAAGCTATTTCTTTTGGATTTTAATCAGTAAGATTATACTTCTAGTTATCTACTTTTCACAAGTTATCCTACATATGATATGTGAACTGATTGACTTGGTGATTCGATCTTTAGTTTTAATTGATTTTTTAATTGGGTCGTTTATATGGTTGATCTAGAAGAGAAATATAAATTATTGACCCACCATGTTTGTGATTTGTTGAGTATTTTTTTATTATTATGAATAAATTGAAAATGAACTTGTCAAATAATTTTCAAATCATAACTAAAATTTTGTAAAATAATTTCTTATTGTTTTATTATTTCATTAAAAATTAAAAATAAAAATACATTAGGGAAAATGTAAAAACATTTTTTCAAACTTAACCTTTTTAGTAATTTCATTAAAATGATAATGACTATTTTTAATTTTCATTTCAATTTTCATATGGTTGTTTTTCTAAATATGTTGTTATCTTTTACATAATTAAAAATTTTATATATGAGATTTTAAAAATATTTTTATTAACTCAACATTAATTAAAATGGTACTAATCCATAATTTAAGGTAAGATGTCGATGATAATTTAAAGATTGAAAAATTAAAAAACATTTTTCTTATATATACCTCCAAAATATTTTTTAAAACATTTTTTATTGACAAAATATTTGTTGATAAAAAAAATATTTATGAAAAAAAAAAAGGTACCCACATGATCTGTCAAAGCTAAGAAAATAGAGATTTCACTGTCTCCATGAAACAGTTCAGTCAGTTGTACCATACCATTTCTTTCTCCTTGATAACTTGTTTAAAACGTACACATGTAAAAACCCTAATAATTGTGATTTAGGATTAATTTAGATAAATGATAAAATTAATTTTGAAAAGATTAAAAATAATAAAAAATATGAGATTAGTTATCGTAAAAGTAAAGTTAAAATTAATGATAAAATATGTATTTTTAGATGAAAAATAGTAATGAAAAATAGTAACGACGATAAAAAGAATTGTAATAAAAAAATTCAATAAAAACATTACATTAAAATTTATATATAATAAAATAATTAAAATTAATAAAAATAATAACATATTAAATAATATTTTTATTATATTAAATTAACAAAATTATTTTATAATTTTTAAATAAAAAAATTAGTTAAATTATAAAGATAAAATTATTTATTCAATATAATTATAAGGGCAAAACAATAAAAATAAAAAATAAAAAATAAAAATGGCAAATGGCAAATGGCAAATGGCGTTGGGTCAATGCACCCAAAACTTCCGGTCACTAAATGGCTAATCAAGCATTCAACATGATAATAAATGATTGATTCAATTGATTAATGTTCATCTTTCTTTATGAAAAGGTTTTTAATTTGAAATCTGTCAGTGATCATTTATTAAGATTATATCGAATGTACGATCTGTAATAATCTATCTTAAATTATCAAATATGATACATCTTAACTTGATTTGAAAAATTAAATAATTTATCTATTTCAAAATTTTCTTAAAAGAAAAGAATCAAGCGTTAGAGACAACTTTTCATAAAAAATGTTATCTCACCGGGACAATGTTTCAATCAAACTGAAGCCCTAGTTGCTTTGCATTTCCACACTACTTAGTTGATATCTACCAAAAAAATGACATACATCAACAAACAAAAAGGTTAAAGAGTATAAAAATTTTTAAACATTTTTAAACTCTAATTAAAAAATTATTTAAATATTTTTATTTCAATTAGTCAATTTTTTTAATATTTATTTGTATTCAATTCAATTTTTATTTAAATAAAAAAGTTAACACCATAAATTTTTGTCAACTAAAATAAAATTTATGTGACATTAATAAAATAAATGAAAGTTTATCATATGACACAATTAACATGAAAATTAAATAAAATCAGATTTCTTCCTTTTTTTTTTTCTTTTGTATTTTCTTGGTTACTCTCTTTTTAAAATCTCTTTAAAAATTCAATTGATTGCAATTCAAAAATTAATTGATTAAATTTATCATATAACTAAATTTCGTCAACTTAAAAGTTCAATTAAATCAAAATAAAAAATTTAATTGATTGTAATAAAATATTAAATATTTGAATAATTATTAAATTATAATTTAAGAGTATTTTGACCCTTTAACCAAAAAAAAAATGAACACACAAAATACAAAGAGTCCATTTCAGTTATATATATATTAGACATGCAAAATCCATAAATCCCTTGCTGCTAAGTTGATTTCATCCATATAAATTTATCAGTTTTGACAGTAAATTTTATTCTAGCCTTCTTTGATGTTAATTTACAATATATATGAAGCATGACATATCCAATCTCTCGGTTTAGAGAACTAAATGATGACATGTCTTGTTATAAAATAATCACAGAAAATCAAGGATAAAATTTTAAATAAAAATATTTATCTAAAAATTATACTAAAATTTCTAAACTTTTAATTAAAAAAATTTGCATGCTTAATTGCTTCATTCATATAGTTAATTCTTCTTACAAACATAATTTAAATGAAGAACAGAGACCAAAACTTCATGCTCCTGTTGTTTCGCCGTGGAATTTAATGTTAAAAATTGTTAATTAATTCCTTGTCGATAGTGGCATGTTCCCCACAAAAAGCTGAGAATCATCAATTTCATAAACAGCTTTCCTTCGAGGATATTAATCAGCCACGAAAATTTAATGGTAAAAGCTTTGATTTCAATACAGATCAGATCATTATTAAAAGGGAAGAAAGGCACGAGACGACATTTAGGAAATGGCTTAAGCTAGGGAAAAGAAAGTTTTCTGTCGGTGAAGGCTCAACTGCTGCATTTCATACTTATATTTACAAATTGGAGATATAGTCAAAATTGTGGTCCAGATTTGGCTTTGATGAAAATTTATGGTAACCATTATAACTTAAGATGCAAGATATTTCATATTTCACGCAGGAAAAACATGAAAAATTAAATTAATTAATGAGACTTACCACTTTTTTTCTGTTAGCTAAGCTACTTTTCAAATATATATTATATATAGAGTTGCTTTTTAATGCCCAGACATGTTAATTTTTTAATTTTACAAATAAAAATAATTATCACATATTTTATTTATTATTATTATATATATACTGTTGATATATGTAATAATTTTAGGTATATAAATGCTCTAATAAAAACTAATTTTCCAGCAAAATTTTTTCCATTGAAAGTTTTAGTTAAATTCCCTACCACGTTGGGGAGAGCATGCATGAATCTTACATGAAAACTGCCAAGGGTTTTGTTATTACAATATTACTTTGCTTGAATATCGGATTATTTTTCTATTTTTTTAGTCAGATCAGCTCCTCAATCTAGATGTAGAAAAATGCTTACAATTAAATATTATTAATTCTCGAATTTTCCTTGTGCTTACAAATTTTAAGAATTGGAAGCCAATAATTGTGCCATTGGGAATCTTATATATGAATAATTTAATCATTTCATTATTCATTTAATTTGATCATTGAATTGGGAACTTTCATTCGGAATCTTTTTCTAACCAATATAAAATTTTGAACAATTTTTATTACGTCAATAATTGCATAGTTTATTAATAAAATTTTTACTTTTAATTTTAATTTTAATAATTAACATTTCAATTTCAATAATTTTAATTAAAATTTTTTTTATTGGCACACCGTTTCATAATTTTCATATTTCCTTATACCTCGTGATTAATTAAAAATATGATTATGATTTAAAAAAAAGTAGTCTCAACCACTGTCCTTAGATTAATTAGTTTAAAGTTATAATAAAAAGAATGTCTTCAATTTAGCTTTTCAGAGCCAAATTAAGCCGACATTTAGCCTTCAGCCCATCAGCAGAGGCAATTGTCAGAACCTAATTCTCATAAAAATATAGAATACAATAATAGAATCATTTCTCCAGAAACATGGATCTCTAGGTCCAATGTGCATAGAGAAGTTATGAGTTTGGCTTTGGAATAAAATAATAAATACAAAATAAACAAAAGCTTATGGTTTGCAAAATATTGCCCCTATGCATGTGGGTGGGAAAAATAATTTTTTATTTAAATTTTAATTAGTAGTTGTACTACACTTAATTATTTGTCCTCTCTAATAATATATACAATCACTTTATGAATGTATCAATTTTTAATATAAAATTTGGTATATCTAAGTTGCCCAAACTGTATTTATTCCATGATGTTATGCATTTAAGATTAATTAGTGTCAAGAGATTTGAATTTAAAATTATGTTAAATTTAGATAATTTTTTTATTAATCTATTAATTATTTTATAAATTAAATGGTTCACATTAATTTGATCAATAAACTATTGTTATGCTATTTGAGACAAGTATAATCGAGATAAAAAGTTTTAAGAAAATTAGCATTACTCAATTTCAATAACCATTATATATCCAATTTTGAGCAAGAATAATCAATTTTAACTATTTAATTAAAGACAATGTTACATACTCATAATTCATATACATATTATACATATATGCATTATTTTTTTTTGTTTTAAATTTTATTTTTCTTCAATTTATTCTCATGTTGTCAAATTTTTTTGTATGAAACTTATGTAATTATTATATATATAATTTTTTCCTTCAATTAAACATTCAATTTAATTTGAATCAGAATTCAAGATTCAAAACCCAAAATTAATGACTTGATTTAATTATACATTAATTAGAGTTAATTATTGAAAGAAACAAGGCATCAAATCAAATAAGTTATGGTGGCAAAAGAGTGAATGAACATGTCGATAAAGCACGTTACCTCTTGCCCAAGGAAAAGCAACTAATAATAAAAGTACATAAAAACATGGGGCGGCTACCCACATTATCCATGGCCTACGACCTCTCATGGTGGGGATAGTTTCATTTACTATTTGTTTGGACAACACCAAACATGTGAACTTCTCTATTCTTGGCAATATACACCCAACCTTTTCCTATACTTAATTAATCCATCATTAAATTAAGTTTGACTATTAATTTTAATAAAATTAGATATTAAAAATAAGGTTGGTAAATTTTGAATTTTAAAATTTTTAAAACATACTTTTTTAATTTTAATTCAATATCTTATTTTAAAAAAATAAACGTTAAAATTTAACATAATTCTATTTGAACCTACAAAATTTTCAAAACATATGGCATGTCAACTTCGTATATAAGTTATTCTCTTATTTTTAGATTTTTTTTTTATTTTTTTGACTATACAATTTTACAAATAGTTTAATCATTCAACTAGTAAATTAAAGCTTTACAATTATAAGAGAATGTTGAAATCAACAGAAATTTAATTCCAGTAATTATTAATTTTTTCATCTCATTATCACAATTAATACTTTCATTAAGAGAAAATGAAAAGTTCAATTCATTAAACTAAAAAAAATGATGAAATCTCTTTCTCTTCCTTATCTAATATTTTCATGTCAATCTATTTAATATTGTTGATTTTCCAAAAACCTTTATAAGAAAATCTTTAAAAAAATTGCCCATTTTTAATCCTTCAATTTTTATCTAGATTTTATTTTTTAAAAAAATATTCATCGATTTGTCAGTATTTTTTATTATTTTATTTAAAATTTTAAGATTTATTGATGAATATACTCACTAATTTATAATTTTTTTTTTGCAGAATCCATCAATTAAAAAACCAAACTTACAAATTCAAAAGATATTGAAAGAATCTGATCATAAATTTATTGATTTATACTGTAAAATTCTTAACCTATTTCAATTTTTTTTTGTTAATAACATATCTTCATATTTATTTTTAAAAAACTTAATATTTCACATGTTAATAAAACATATATGTGTAAATATATTTTAATATATTTTATTATTGTTGTTGCTGAACCATATCAATGCGCAGAACACTACCTAATAATATTTTTTTGACCAACAAAATCAATTTAAAATACACAAAATGAGATAAAGAAAGTAATAAGTATTAAAATTCTTTCTCGTCTAACATTTTTACTATTTGATTTCATTTGGGTTCTTGTATTTAATCATTTTTCATCTCTCTTTATGTGAAATTAAATTGTATTTTACGATTAAATCAGTCATAAAATATAATCAAATCACAACGAAAGAACCATCCATCACATTGTCAAAAGAAAAAAAAAAAAAACTCTACGACTTTATAGGTTTTACTCTAAGTTTGTGAAATTCGCAAACTTAGATCAATTACGTTGGCGCTTTCGTCATCTCAAGAAATATAATATATGGTTGGATTCATTATCAATTTTTTGAAATATAATATAATCAACACTACTTATTTATTTTCTAAACTAAAAATATAGAAAAAAGCAATTACTTTCTGCCTATATCTTTTTTTGAACGTAATTATAAATAAGTTCTATATGATCGGATCCAATAAAAAGAATCTAGTTTGAATATTTTATAATCCCGAAAATGGACGGAGTAAGAGTAGTACAAAAATAAAAATATTACTATACAATTGCAAGTAATAAGAAGAAAAGTCAATAATTATTTGGTATGTCGTTAAAATATTAATTTTTTTTAAATTTTAGTGATTAAAATTTAATTTTTTTTTATAATTTTAAATAAAAATAATAAGGGGAAAATAAGCTCATTGTCAAAACTTGAAAAGCATTTGTACTAAAATTTTAAGCCTTTGGTACTAAGAAAATGTTAGATATAAGATATGTACAATATGTCTGTTAAAATCCCCATATCTGATGAAAACTTTACAGGAAGAAACATATCCCTTTGACCCATGTTTATATCTAAGCATTTACCCCTTAGTAGTTTCAATCTCAACTCAGATGGGCCAGCTTATACCTAAGCATTTACCCCCTAATGGAAGCTAACCAGCTGCGCCCGTGTTGTGAATTAACTCTGCATGAGATGATTCCCAACAATTGTGGGCATGCATGTCTAAAGTTAAGCTCCCCTTTTTTGGACTAGAATCGGTAAGCCACCTCTTACAGTGGCGGTGAGACCAGGGGCAAACCTTGGTGCTTGATTCGGATCGGCAACCCGGATGTTGTACCGCCTGATAATGGCTAGAACCACACATTTCATATCCACCAAAGCCATTTCCTTCCCTAAACAAACCCTTTGTCCAGCTTGGAAAACTGGGAATTTGTATGGGTTTTCAGGGATATATCTACCATTTTTCAACCATCTCTCTGGCTTGTATTCAAGACAATCTGAGCCCCAAACCCAGTCCATCCGACCCATTGCATATTGGTGGTAGGTTACCCTGGTGCCTTTCCTCACAAAGGTACCATCAGGCAAAATGTCATCTTCTTGAGCAAACTTTGAATCAAATTGGACTGGTGGAAACAGTCTCAAGCTTTCGTACAAAGCGGCGTGTAAATAGTGCATTTGTTGCATTTGGTTGAAGCTTGCAAACTGTTGATCACTCGACGTCCCCATGACTCTTTCCAACTCGTCTCGGATGGCTGACTCGACTTCTGGATGCTGAGATAACAGCCAGAAGAAGCTGGTCAACCCTGAGGCCACCGTATCACGACCAGCCAAGAGGAAACTTATAACAATGTCTCTAAGATACTTGTCGTCATTGATTGTGCCCATGAATCTTGACAAAAGATCGTTACTGTCTGGAAAGCCCTTTTCTCGCCGTTGATTAATCATCTCTTGAGCGAATTCATCCACCATTTTAATAGCTTCTTTGAGCTGCTTTTCCGTGCCCAAATTCAATAGCCTTTTGACTTTCCATATCAAAGGTGAAGATGCCACCGCTCTTTGTGCCGATAATTTAGATGCTAAATCAAAAGCTTCAGCAAATTCTGAAATGGGTAGTGATAAATTGAGGCAACCAGGGTCTAACCCGAAGGAGAATTTGCAGATATTATCGAATGAAAATCTTCTAAACACGTCTTGTAAATCTAAAACTTGTTCTTTACCAGAAACTGATGATAAAAGAGGGATAAGCCTGGATTGAATCTCGGACTTGACAATATCAAACGCGTGCGCTCTTATGGAGATGCTACCAAGCTCAAGGCTGGCCATTTTCCTTTGAAACTTCCATGAATCACCATCAACATTGAAAATACCTCTACCAAGAAGATCACCAAGAAGAGCAGAGAAGGGTTTCCCTTTTGGGTAGTTTTCAAACCTGGTTTTGAGAATGTGCTCCACATTTTCAGGGTTTGCAGTGATGATATTGCCAAGAACATGGATATGGATCGTTCCGGTGGAAGAGTTTTTAAGAAGGTGAGTGTACCAATCAGAAAGATTATCGAATTCTTTGGTCCAACTCGAAGTGAGAAAAGCCTGGCAGATTTCACAATTACACCAGAGCTTCAACCTCAAAACTAAGATCAACAATGAAAACAAAGAAAACATGAGGGTGAAAGAGAAGAACATGAAGCAGAAAGCACTGCACATGGAGCAAAACCACAAGGAAAGTTCAGAATCCATTGATTGAAAAACAACAACAATAAAACAAAAGTTGAAGAAATCAAAGAAGGGAAAGCTTAACAACTAGGGGTAATGAGTTATGAGGAGATAAGGAAATGAAGAGAACCCATGGCTTTATATAATATTTGGTCACTTTTTTTCTACTGGTAAGAAGGCGGGGACCAAAAAAATGGAAAAAATAAAAGTCAGTTAATTGAGTATTCAATATTTACTATAATCGTACTAATTTTATTGATTTGGATATCTTCGAGCTGTTTGGCACGCGAGAAAAGATTAATTGTTGCATGAATAACGCGTGCGCAAAATAAACAATAGTCCTTTTTGGAGAAGGAAAATTGCCAAATTGGGGGGTCCCTTCCAGACTTCGGCCTCTCTTATTTCTAGACTTCTTTCATTTGCTTGTGGAGTTGCGTCCGTTCAACCACGTGCCTGCCTTCAAATTGATATGCTTTTTCCAACTTGCGAGTAGAGTGACAAATTGACAATTCCAAAGCCAACTTGATTTTCATGACGAAGGGAGAGAGAGATTTAAAAAAAAAAAAAATTGATATTAACAAATGAATAAAAATTAGTTCGTGTAAATAATAAATGAAATTACTTTGTTTCTTTGATTTTGATTCTCCCTTGCTTTAAAAAATATTTTGTTCACAGTCTTTGCATAACAATTTGCATTAGTACATATATCAATTTCATAGTTTGATCTTTAATTTATAAATAGAAATTTTTTTATCGAAATTTATAAATAAAGTTAAACATTTAGAATTTCAAATCTAACTTGACAAAAAAATAATGGTTGAATCTTTTTTGGATTAAAACAACAAAAATAAAAAGAGAAATAGAGTGGGGAAAGAGAAAAACAAGCTCATGCTTTTTTTTTTCTTTTAATTGCTAATAGTTACGAGATATGTTAATAGAATATTGAATTTTTAACTTAAGTGATTTCGATCAAATTCAAGATAAAACATGTTTTAATCGATAATTTTATGAAGTTAGATTTATCAATAAAATTATAATCATCACATAATCGTTAACGCATATCAAGAAAAAGAAAAAACTAATAAGTAAATTAAATCAATATTAATAAATTAATATATAATCAAATAAAATTCACATATGATAAAATTTGAACATAAAATTCAAAAAATAATTTCAAGTTCTATAAACACATTGAGACAAAGATAAAAATAATTCTTAATTATTAAAATTTGAGGGTTCATGTTAGAAGCCTCATTTCATAGATCAAAATCTTAGTATAAAAAAAAAAGGAAAAAAAATAAGTCGTAACAGTTGACGATCTTATTCAATATGAGATGACGCTAAAGAAGCCAGAATTAATTAAAAAAAATTTATGATCACGGATGTCGGCCACGAATGGTCATGTACAGCTCGTCGTTTACTGCAGACATAGCCAGAGCGGCAGCAGACGAAAGGCAAATTTGCTGCCCACCGTTTTCCTTTAGAAAATCTACTTGTTGAATTATCCAATTTTCAAATATTGTTTGCTATCTCTCCAAAGCCGCATCGCCACCGGCATATTTTCCCACTACTAAAACAGCCTAATTAGTTTTAAGACAACAAATTGTTAGATATTCTGTGTTTGTATCTTCGCTACTTTTCTTCCTTCAATTCTTTCTTCCCAAGTAAATAGTATAAAGCTATAGCATTATACTATTTATTTATGTTTTCACTTAGACCAAAATCGAAAGAATGATAAGAGGGAATAAGATTCATATTTAAATCTAAAATTTTATGTCGAATTTATTTCATATTAAATATATATAATATAAAAATTATTTTATTATAATTTATCTTAAAATATTAAATATTAAATTTATTTATTTATTTATATTAAATTTATATATAATTTTTTATTAATTTTAAGTTGTATCAAATTTATTTAAATTAAAAAATAACGATTCTTTAAGAAACAATAATACTCACCTATGGTGGAAAAAGAGCAGTTGACTTGGTGGGTTTTGCCCCCAATAAAAATAGAAATTAAAAGAGGATATACTTTCATATATCTTTTGGATGTTTGATGTTAACTTTGAGGTTGTCTTTACTGCCGCCATAACATTGAGGTTATCCTAGCAAAGCTGTTATTTCAACATGTTGTCCACGTTTTATAAAAGCATGATCCATATTTCCCAGTCTTCTCGCATTTTTCATTCCCATGTTAGTCTTTATGTCACAGATCGAGACTTAAGCTTTAAATTTGTGTAATTTTAGAATTCAGGTATTCATCCTTTCGACACCTCAAATCAACTTTTTTACCACGGTTCATACTTTTATGAGGTATTATTCGCTCTGACTTCATGACCTCACGATTTTATCTTACAAAAAACGCTTCACAAGATAAAAGTAATGTGAACCCTTATATACCCCAGAGACCTTTTTATTTTGTTCGATGTGGGATTCATAATTCTTCTTTAAGTCCGTGACATTCTTTCGCACCTAATCTCGTGACGCCCTCGTCACAGAGATTAGTCACCCTGTCTACCTCCTTCGAGGTACTTGACGTGGATTGAACGATTTAGGGTTAGCTCTGATACCACTTCTCAAGGGTCGAGACTTAAGCTCTGAACCCACGCGACTTCAGGACCCGAGCATTCACCCTTTCGATATCTTAGATCAATTTTTTTACTACGGTTCATACCCTTGTGAGATATTATTCGTTTTGATCCTCTGATCTTATAATTTTATCTTACAAAAAATATCTCATAAAATAAAAATAATGTAAATTTTTATATACCCTAAAAATTTTTTTATTATAGAAATTCAAAATTTTTTTTTAGGGTCGATGACATCTACACGTATCTGCTTACACAATAAGGAACAGCTGGTCCACACCACCTTCCATTTTTCGTATGTTTTGAGCTGTTCAAAAGTGGGGCATCACACTTCTTTTTCTTTCTTAATTTTGACTATGATATGACATAAGTTCATTGTTTGTTTTTGTTGTTTGGTCCGAGAGAGAGAGAGAGAGAGAGAGAGAGAGGGGCTGTAAATTTCATGCATCACACTGTTGTCAACTTCAATATCCCCACAATCTAACTGTGTGAATTTAAACCAAACCCGTCGCCTTTAGTTTGATTGGACCCCTACAATTCACAAGTCCTTTTCAGTCCTGAGCTGTTCTTTTTCGGCCCTTTTCATTATAGTATATTCTCGACTTTTTTTTAAAATTTTCTTTGGATAATTATTTAATTTGTCATTCATTTTACTTGAAAGCATTCAAGATTAGATTTGGATTCTATAACATTTTTAGTATGAATATTAATTTTAATAAAATTTATTAAATATAAAATTTTTATTAAATTTTTTAATTTTAATTATAATAAAAATTTTTCAATCATAATAACAATAATTTTTGCTATTATTTAATTTTATCAAAACTTATCTCATCATTTATATAAAATAAAATTTAATATTACTTTGATGTTCATTTTTGAGTAATCTTTTACTATTAGTTTTTGACAAGGATATTGTTCATATACTTTCAATGGCGTGGGCCTTTACGGTAGGTAGCTACTACATAAAAATCTTTCTTAATTGAAGATTGGCTGGACAGAGAAAGATCAGAGTAGGTAGCTACTACATTAAAATATTATTTATTATTTTTTAGTCTTTTAAATTAATTTAAATTCAAAATCTTTATTTTTAAATTCGATTTTAGTATAATTAAATTAATATTTTATTATTTTTATCATGTATAGATTTTTTTTCTTAATTTTAAATTTTAAATAGCCAAATGTTTAATTTATATGCAAATGGATTACTATTATGTTCTTACTAAAAAATAATTTGATGCGTAAAATTTTCGTGTGAAATTCAAATAAATATTTATTATACGCAATCTTCTCTTATAATTTTATAGAAAATTATTTTCAACCACTAAAATATGTAATCACCAAATCATATAACAGTATCTTTAAAGATTACTATTATATTTTTACTATTCAAGATAAAATGGTGAAAGAGAAAGGGAGGCGGAAGACTAGACATCAATAATATTTTGAGTTTTAATGGGGAAAAGTTAAAAAAAAAAAACAAAGTAGTTGAGTGATTTTGCCTGCCGTCTTCTAGAGCTGCAGCCATGGAAAAAATTGCATAAAATTTCAATTTTCACATGCTGATATCCATGTTTTAACTAAGAAAGTACACCTTCACTGGTTTAAGGGTTTTAGACGCTTCCTATTTCTGCCGCAGAAAGCAGAAGAAAACCATTAACAGATTTGGAAAGCGTAGTCAAAAGGGGAGGGAGAGAATTGGTTTATTTTTGTAAAACTATAATGATTTTGTGGATGACAAGAAGCCAACTCAATCTATATATGCAAACATTAGAGATATGGTTGGACCTTGGACAATCAAATAAAGAATTCCAAATTGGATATTGCTTCTTTTGAACAGTTCATGAATGTTTCTATTTACTCCATTGCCTTTTTTATTTATGCAGTTGACTCTCCAAAAGTCTGAATGCATGCAAAACTAATTGGTTCTTTCTATAAAAATTCTAATTAATTCTTTATAGTATAATTAGTGTTTAATTTATAAATTTATTATTGGGTCTGAAGTAATAAACATAATAATATAAAAATAATATATCGTTATAAATCTATAATAATAGACAACAATCAACAATGCAAGAAAAATAAAATACACAAAAAATTTACGTAAAAAATCCTTTGATGAAAGGAAAAAAACTACAGATCACAAAAAAAAAAAAAATTTGCTATCAAATAATGGATATACAAAATTCTTTTCTAGCTAAAATTAGAGTTAATCAATAATTAAAAAGAGAATTCGATAAACCTCACAAAATAAGTGACTCAATAAATATACCATGAATTTGTTTTTAGAGAGTTTCAAATCAATATTTACTGTTCAGAATATAAAACTCTGAACTAAAATCTGTTGACAAAATTTCAGTTCAATCGAATCACGGATCGACTTTCGTTCAACCAATTCTCATTTCTCCATTTTCTCTCTATTTTCTTGGCTTCTTTTTTCCCTTTCTTTTCTTGGTTTGCAACACCACCTTGTTTTTTTTTTTTTACCTTAAAATAACCCCCACTTCATTTTATTAAATAGCTAGGGTTTTGTGTAAAAAGAAAGACCAAAACTTAGAGCCTTTGATTGGTCCAAAACCAATTACATGGGTTGGACCCCACTTTCCTAACAATCTCCCTCTCCAACTCTATTAGGAGGAGATTCATTACCATAGCAGCTTCATTTAAAATTTACCTTGGC